TTAATTGATGATTTCTATATGTGGTAAAGAGTATGTGAAAGGAAATTGTGATCTTTGAACTTCGTGGAGTGTTGGCTCGAGTTGAAATACAAATTGTGAAGGTATATGAGATAATTAAATCTTTGGAGCATTGGCTCAAGTGATAATGTGAACTATGAGATGAAAGTGAAAGAAAGAGAAAGAGTTATTGGTTTATTCCCTTGCCGGGACGTTTCGTTGTTTTGTTGATTTTCTCCCTTGCCGGGATATGGAAACTCATTTATATTGTTCCCTTGCCGGGATTTAACTATTTAATTGCATTCCCTTGTCGGTATTTCTATAATTACTTGTTTACTTCCTTGCCCCTTATTTGTGATTGTTGTTTGGGTAAGAAAGAGTGATAAAACACTAAGGGTGATGTCGTGCATTGTTTGATATTGTGAGGAAAGAGTGTAAAGCACGAAGGGTGATGCCATGCACTGCTTGATATTGTGAGGAAAGAGTGTAAAGCACAAAGGGTGATGCCGTGCCGTACGATGTACCATTTCGTACTGATATTCATTGATTATACTGTGAGGAAAGAGAGTAAAAGCACGAAGGGCGATGCCATGTACATGATTATTGATACGATTGATTTGGTGAGAACGAGAGTAAAGCACGAAGGGTGATGTCATGCAAGTTTGTGATTTCTTATTCTTATTGATATTCTGGCCTTNACAGTAGTAGCGTGGGAGCATACCTTCAGTCCAGCGAGACACCGAGGTGGCCTTGCAGGCGTCCACAGGCCCGGCGTCTCCCCTATCTTTTACTTTAGACCGTTATCTCATTGTAGTCGAGACAAACAGATATATTTCTTTCAGACAGTGTATTTAGTATTCTTAGATGTTCGTCAGTATTGTGACACCAGTCTTGGGTAGAGGCTTATGTTGAATTCTTCCGCATTTCTATTCAGCTTTTCGTTAATTTAAGACTTCCGCTTATTTAGTTAAATCAGTTGCTTTTATTTTAATGCTGATAATTATTAAAAAGGATTATGTTGTTAATGATAAAGTAAGTAATGTTTGACTTGCCTAGCTCCCAATAGTAGGCGTCATCACGACTCCCGAGGGTGGCAAATCTGGGTCGTGACAAGACCGAACCACGTTAAATGTTTGTGTCTTTTTTGATAGATTTCTCCTTTGTTGTCAGACTTATCGTCGTTCAAGGTTTGCTTTGCTAGCTTCCGCATGACACCTGATTTTTTCGGTCTTACCAAGTGGTATCAGCGCGAGGTTCAAGACAGGTTCATCTTGACGAGTTCAATTCTAGCCGCAACATATTTGACGATAATCGTAATTTTTGTCTGAGAAATTTGACCGGTGTGCTATGCACGCTGAGACAAACTTTGTGGTGGAGATTTGGAGATGCGACCTTGTTGAAGGCTATGCGAAGAAGGTGGATCAAGTTTATTTTGTTAGAAAATTTAGGCCAAGGGGGAGAATTATTAGGTGTTTGTCTAGATTTTCTTACCATAATTGGTTTTCATATCTCATGAAGGAAAGGATAACATATTTACCATAATTGGGTTTTTCTTTTCCTAGAAGGAAAATATAATTCTTCTATATTTGGCTAGTCCCTTTTCTTATAGGAAAAGGTTTGGAGTTTTATAAATTGAAGATCTGTCCTTCTCATTCAGTAACATCCACAATGTAGCCATATGGGGTTTGAGAGTCGTGTTTAAGGGGAGAACTTTACGGGACAAGTGTGTCACTTGTATTTACCTCTTCGTGAGGTTGTTCTCTCGATATTTGTATTCTATTTTATATAGTGGATTGCTCATCTCCGCCATGGATATAGGTCAGTTGACCGAACTACGTTAAATATTTGTGTCTCTTTTTGTAGATTTCTCCTTTGTTGTCGGACTTATCGTCGTTCAAGATTTGTTTTGCTAGCTTCCGCATGACACCTGATTTTTTCGGTCCTAACATATTTTTCATTGATAAAATCAATAAATCTGGTGGAGTGATAATCAGAGTGCAATACGGATAGTTGAATGACTTTTTTGTTACAAATAAAAGAAAATTGACTCTACTTCATAATTTCACATAGTTCAGTGACCATATGAGTAATGAACTCTATTAACAGGTGCCCTACAGTAAAACTCTTCCTTTGATAATCACATATGCAATAAATATCATTACAAGGAAGCACGCTAAATCACAATGAATGCAGCAATTAGACTGGAGAAAAAAAAAAGAGAACTAAACAAATTTTAATCTAACATCCCCACTTTAACAAGTCTACAACCAACAAGAGTAAATGAGCAAATAGATTCAGTTTAATACTTTGAGAAAATAAAACACATCAATTGATACACCTAATTAACTCTAATATGCATAATAAATTTTGTCCCTCCAGCTAATAAGATACACAAATACAAAAGAAAAAAAGGGAAAAATAAAGTTTTTACTCTGCATGTATACAGAAAACACAGTTTCCTCCTAGTCTGGGGCGAAGTTATGTGTGGTCAAGGGTGATCAACTGAACATCCTTCGCCAAAAAACTATATTATGTACAAAGTACTTGTTATTGATATAAAAAAATAGACCTTGAACGCCCTTGCATAGCTCACTGGCGAAAGATGTTCATATTTTGAACACCCTTGTTGAATTTTCTGGCTCTGCCGTTACAGTCCTACTACTTTGGATATAAGTCATGTCATATTACAAACTCTCATTGGCAAAACACTTTACCTAACATCAGCATGCAATTAAACACGATAGAAGAGTTACAATCAATGATTGATTATCGTCCTTTGCCGAGTCTTGACTGTCAACTACCATAAAATACGTGTCCCCTACCAAGCAAGATATATTTTTTCAAATTAAAATGAAATCTATAATATAGATAGTGAAAATAAAAGCGAGCACTAAATTACCCAGCAAATAAATAAGAAATAATTAAGTGGCAAGCTAAATTCTCCAGTAATAACTCATTCTTATTTAAGCTAAAGATAAACTTTAGGTGATTTATCTTAACATTTAATGGACTTCAAATTATTTATCATGAGGCGTAACATCAACTTTAAGATCTGTTTTAAATGGCATCCAATAAAAGTTAAGACAATGTACATAAAAGTCAATTATGTATGAATTTGTTCCTTAGATTTTTAGTCTTCTCAAGCCAAATACCCATCAAGGCACTTATTGCTAAATAAATGGAAGACCTATCGTGGGAAAAAGGGTTTTGGACAAACGCAAATAAAAACACGGTACTGGGACCATTTCACATGTAATGTTTGTCACATAGTATCAACTTCAACAAAGGTTCAGTTTGTGAAGTTATGTGACTCGTACAAGTATATTGAGTAGATATCTAGTACGTACGAAGTAACAAACAAACAATCATCTCATAACTTTTCTGGAGGAACATCACTATTTTGAAGGTTTTATCTTTTTAAACTTTGTAACTTGGAAGAAAACATAATGTTCCTAAATAGGTAGAAGTAAGGCTTCTTATCGGGCGGATCCGACAAATACTTACGCTTAACAGTTTAGCTTATAGTAATCCGCTAACCAACCAATAAGACATCGGGGCGGATTGGTATTAGATTAGTGATTATCGGGTGATTTATCGGCTAAATCAAACAAATAATAAAAATGAAGTACATGGACTATAACTCAATAGAAATAATGAAAAACTTAATACATATATCAAATTAATGAAAATAAAAGCCGGAGCAGTGAACATAAATAATTGTCTGAACAGTTGTAAGACTCTAAAGTAGTGAACATAAACAATTGAATCAAAATAAGAAGGGAAAGGCTATAACACTGCCACTCACGATTTATCAAAATAAGAAGGGAAAGGTTTATATACATAGGGTAAAAATATAAGTATAATAATTCTTCACGGGTTAACGGTTTATCCGATAAAGAAATTGAAAAATTCGCCCCAAACCGATAAACCGTTAATTATAAAATTTCAATCCATTCACCAACCGTTAATCCGATAACCGGATACGAATAAAATAATTTTACGATTCGATTATCAGTTACGATCAGTGGCGGACCCAAGATTTTTATCAAGCGGGTTCAAAAAAAAAAACATTAGAGGTCATATGTGACTAGCTGGTTTCGAACTCAGGACCATGTGAAAAATTTGAACCCTCTTTACCAAAAAGAGCTAGGCATTTTACTTGTTTTAAGTGGGTTCAAAATTATATTTATACCTTTACTTGTCTGAAAACAAAAATATACCTATATATACAGTATTATTTTTCGATGAAGCGGGTTCATATGAACCCACTTAACTCCCCGTGGGTCCGCCCCTGATTACGATTTGATTTTGAACAGCCCTAGATGAAAGTAGTAATACACCGTCTCAACTATTATGCATCTAGTCATAGAGTATACACTTGTATCCAAATTTTTTAGCAGTGCACAATATGAATAGTTGAATGGGCGGAGCTTAGGGGCTAAAGAGGACTGAACGATTATACTGTATATATAAGGTTCAATATTATTTTTATCTATCTATCTATCTATCTATATATNAAATCTCCTTGGTAAAAATCTGCTTCCGTCATATTAATAAATCATATGACGGGTTACTGGTAAAGTTGTTATCATGTGATCAGAAGGTCACGCGTTCGACCCGTGGAAACAATCTCTTGTATAAATGCAGGGTAAGGTTGCGTGTGATAAATCCTTGTGGTCCAGCCCTTCCCCGATATGATAACTCCTTGGCCCCACCCTTTCCCAAACCCCGCGTATAGCTAGAGCTTAGTGCACCAGCTGCCCTTGGTATGCACGATAATGGGATGACTTTGAACCATTACTTCTTTTTTCCCTGTTTTTTCCTTTTCTTATTTTTTTTTTTTGGATTGGTAACTAGTAGGTTAGAAGGATTAACTTGATGAAGCTACTCATGCAAATTACTATTTACGTAATACTTATCACAATCAAATTATTGAACAAGTATCCCACTTTTGTGGTCTGCTTTAAATTCTCTGTCACTGAAAAAAACACCTAATTATAGGATCTTCTCATGGGGTTTTACTGAAAAATCTTTCTACTTAAAGAGCCAAAATATACAAGCAATAGAAAGTAAAAGGTATCATAAAAGGGGGGGCCTCTCCATTTTTTTCCCTTGAAGAAAAACAAATTTGACAAAAATGTCTAAACAAACATACAGAATATGCTGTTTTCAGAGGAAATTCAAGATGAAAGAAGCTGAGCCACCTAATGAGATCAAGGATTTGTTTAACAGATTCTCAGAAAATGGTATAATGACTGCAGAACATTTACACAGATTCTTGAAAGATGTTCAAAGGGAAGATAAAGTTACAAAAGAAGAAGCTGAATCTGTGTTGGAATTTGCACTTAAACTTGTTCATGAGCATCTTAATATTGTTTTTCATAGAAAAGGTCTCAATCTTGATGGCTTTTTTCGGTATCTCTTCAGTGATGCTAATGCTTCTCTCTCCCCACACAAAAAGGTAAAGAATTACTCCTATAATAGTTATTCTCTTTGCACAAAGCCAAAGAAATAGACTTTCATTTTGTGTTAGTAAGTTCTCCTTTACTTGTTTATTGTATATATATTATATTGCTTTCTAACTATTACTGGTACTATAATCTAATATAAAATGAGAAGAAAGTTCATTTTCGACTTGTCTTTATTCAGTTCAACATTTTGGTCAAATCTTTGTTTTTATGCAATCTCTGTTTCCCACCTTTTATAAGAAAAAGAGTAGTACATCGAACTATTTCCCTACACTGCAGAAGAAAGAATAGCAAACCAGTAAAGAGAAAAGTAATAAGGAAAGTGGTTATCAAATCTATACTTGATATAACTAGCTAGAAGGTTTTGTTCCCCCATTTCTATAATCACCTTTTGAAGGTAAAATCATCCCTTATTTTTTACCAAACAACACAACTTTGACTCCGGGGAAGGCCTACCTCAAGGGGTGTGATGTAGACAGCCTATCTTAATGCAAACATCAGGACTTGATTCTACGGCTCGAACCCGTGACCTATGTAGGCAGCCTACCCTAATACAAGCATCAGTGACTGATTTTACGGCTCGAACCCGTGACCTATAGTTCAAGCCGTGTGATCTATAGGTCACAGGTTCGAGCCATGGAATCAGCCACTAATGCATGCATTAGGGTAAGCTGCCTATATCACACCTCCTTGGGGTGTGGCCCTTCCCCGGACCCTGCGTGAACGCGAGACGTTTTGTGCATCGGACTGCCCCTTTTTTTTTTTTAACGACTGCATCTAGTAACTATGGAAGTTCTGAAGCACCAAAATATTGAGCAAGCTCAAAAAACAAGGTCTGCCAAGAGAAATTCAATCAGCTGATTTTTCATATTCTTCCTTATGCTAAAAGGGAAAAATAAATTCAATCTACTTCTTTAAGTCTATAATCTGATATTACGTTTTAGCTTTTCTCTTCCGACTTTCTTTGAAGCTTAGAAGCTTGGCTCTTATTTCATTATGATGTCTATCAATAGTTCTACTTTCTTGCATTGCAGGTTCACCATGACATGACTGCACCTTTGTCTCACTATTTCATTTACACCAGTCACAATACCTATCTCACCGGAAATCAACTCAATAGTGACTGCAGCGATGTGCCTATAATAAAGGCGTTGCAGCGAGGTGTCCGAGTTATTGAATTAGACATGTGGCCGAATTCCTCGAAAGACAATGTGGATATCCTTCATGGAGGGTAATGCTTCACTTCCTCTTGCATATTGCAAACTTAAAGGCGGAGCATACATTATTTTTTGCATATATATGCTCAAAAAGTTTTCATTGTTCAACTATCTGTTAAAAGAAGGGTCGTTAGATGAGATGATCACACAATTCAATATGTTATCAAAGCAGATAAAAGTCTTGAGTTTAACTCTCACTGTCATCCATTACCAAAAAGAATTTCTCATTTGCTCTGCGATGAAAAAAAATCAGATTCGCATGTGAGGAGACGTGTTGAAGATACAATTAAAAGTGTGCTTTACCTAAGAGGGTCACACGATTCAACATGTTTCACTCAACAGTATCTAAGGACTAGCCCTGATACCCTTTTTTCTTTTTCCAATTCCATCTTTTAGCGAAACGTTTTGATAATGCAGGACACTAACACCTCCAGTGGAACTTATCCAATGTTTGAAATCAATAAAGGAACATGCTTTTGTGGCATCTGAATATCCTGTAATTTTAACTCTAGAAGACCACCTCACTCCTAATCTTCAGGCTAAAGTAGCTGAGGTAAGCTTATGCCTACTGCAAAGCACCAAGATCATGTCTCATGCTTCTAAGTTTTAATGTCGGTTTAACCATTTTTAAGTTTATCTCTAGATGGTCACTCAAATATTTGGAGATATGCTGTTCACCTGTGGGGCAGAATGCTTGTCAGAATTCCCTTCTCCAGATTCGTTGAAGGGGCGGGTTATCATCTCAACTAAACCACCAAAAGAATATCTTGAAACTAAGAAACCAAATGAGAAAGATAATGGTTCTCAGAAAGGGAAGAAATCATCAGAGGAGAAAGCATGGGGAGCAGAAATTTCCGATCTTAGTAAAAAACTGATAGCTTTATATGAGGTTGTCTTCATAGAAATAACTATAAAAAAATCATTGCCTTGATCTTGACAAAAACTGATCCCTTGTACACTCTCCTATTTAGACTAAATTATATCACTTTGCAGAACAAAGAAACTGGAGAATGTCAAGACGAGGAAGCTGATTCTCATCATGAGAACCCCAATATACAGCAGAATACAGCTCCTGAGTATAAACACTTGATTGCCATTCAAGGAGCAAAATCAAAAGGTCCAACAAGCGAATGGCTAACCGTGGATCCTATTAAGGTGAAACGCATTAGCTTGAATGAAGAAAAGCTCACAAATGTTGCCCTCAAACATGGGAAAGAGTTAATCAGGTGAACTCAAAATCAAAAGTTCTGTTCTTTTGTCGATGTTGTGTCTACTTGTACGTGAATGTCTATGATATGCTATGCTTACTTACACAAAGACAATATTAGACCTCCCGTTGACTATACTTGGTATTTCAGAATTTTGGTGGCCTAATTCTGTTTTACTTTTGAAAATTTAGTTGGACCAGAAACTACTGAAGCCTTTTGTGTGCATGTTGTTGTTTGTTCACGAAAACAGTTCATTTTTTTCCTTTCTCAGAGCTGACTAATTAATTTGTCTTTCAACATCTTGCCCTGTTGAATTTCTACATAAAGGTTTACTCAGAGAAATTTGGTAAGAGTATATCCAAAAGGTATACGAGTCGACTCTTCCAATTACAATCCACTAATAGGATGGATGCATGGAGCTCAGATGGTTGCATTTAACATGCAGGTTCCTAAGAATTTCCTTGCTATTTCTTTTTCGTTGTATTGTTGTCACTTGTCGCTGTGTAGTTATGCAATTGTCTCTTGCACCAGGGAAATGGAAGGCCTTTGTGGTTAATGCAAGGGATGTTCAGAGCAAATGGTGGCTGTGGTTATGTCAAAAAACCAGAACTTCTCTTAAAAGACGGTCCAAATAATGAGGTCTATGATCCTAAACGGCTCTTATCATTGAAAACCACCCTGAAGGTAGAAGAACAGATCATCTTTATTTGAGATATGTGAATTATCTGCATTTATTAGAGCATATGTAATAAAACATAGCACTGTTTTATATTCAGGTGAAAATATACATGGGAAAAGGTTGGCATTTGGACTTTAAACGTACACACTTTGATATATATTCTCCACCAGACTTCTATGTCAAGGTTGTCCTAATATATTTGCATTTGATTTTTGGTTTAAGATGGATTTGTTTCAGTTTTAACTCCATTTCCATGTGATGTAGATTGCTATTGCCGGAGTTCCTGCAGATTCAGGAGTTAAGAAAACGAGGCCAATAGAGGATGACTGGGTACCAACATGGAATGATGAATTTGAGTTCCCATTGACAGTTCCAGAGATTGCATTGCTTCGTGTAGAAGTCCATGAGTATGATATGTCAGAGATCGACGATTTTGGTGGACAAACTTGCATTCCTGTTTCAGAGCTCAGAACAGGAATACGAGCAGTACCTCTTTACAATGAAAAAGGAGAGAAATATCCTTCTGTTAAACTACTTATGCGCTTCGAATTTGTAAAATAATATTTTATATATATACTAGAAAACTGCATCTTTCATTGTATATCCAAGATATGTAGTAGATCTTACAAATCATTTATCAGACAAATCATCTCCTAAAGTTGGAGTTCTTTAAGTGCAAAGTTCAACTGTTTTGTCCTACCATTCTTGCTATGGACAACCGAGGCTTGCTTAGTTGGGAGAGCGCCTCCATTTCCAAAGATTGTTAGAGGTAAGGGTAACCACTAATGATCTCCTAGAAATAGGGTATAAAGGAACCATTCAAGCTATGCACTTGAAATTCCAAAACGTTGCATTTCTTGAGATTAGTTAACGGATAAGGACAGCCCGGTGCACAAGGCATCCCGCGTATATGCAGGGTCCAAGGAAGGGTCGCATCCAAGGGTGTGACGTAGACAACCTATCATAATGCATTAGTTAATGGTTCACTTGTAAAAATGTGTTAATAGATTTGGAGCACCAGCAATCTTTTGTTATTAAGCAAAAAGAAGACAAAAACAAATGAGGAACACTTCAATTCACATAGTCTAAGCTTCAACCGCTTAATCAATATACAATATCTCAGAAAGATAACACACACCATCATGGGAAATTATATCAACTTTCCTTACCCACAACTTTAAGCAATACAAGCAATTGAAGTAAGTAATATGACACGCCTCCTATGGTAGCATATTGTAACTTTTCAGGGCCTTCTACTGCTGGAAAATCGCTATCAGAAGCACGAGTAAATCCACCAACTAACCACGCCAAATTCTTGTATTCTCCCTTATGTAACTTTGAAATAGCCATCAAAGACCTACAGATGCAGCCATAAAGTTCAGACTTCTCCAATATATATCTGAAACTAATGCACATTGGCAAAACTTTTAGGCTTATGTAGTTGAACAATTGAGCATACTTAAATTATACTGCAAACAGAAATAGACTACATGTCAATCAATTAACTATGCAACAATAACAACAAAAAACCCAGTGTTGTCCCATAGGTGGGGTTTGGGGAGGGTAGTGTGTACGCAAACCTTACTCCTACCTTGTGAAGGTAGAGAGGTTGTTTCCGATAGACCCTCGGTTCAAGCAATCAATTAACTATGCCTCAATTATCAATCAATTATACATCGATTACTAATCGACTCTCGGCCTGTATGTATAGGTGAATTCTTTTTCAAAAAATGTGTATATACAGCATTGATTCTGAATCAACAAACATTAAATTGTAAATTCTTCTATGTTGATCCAGCCTAAACAATGTCCTGCTAACTAAACAGCAAACAATGCACACCCCTATTATGCAACTTTGGGCGCGGCCTTTTCCCTGGACCCTGCGTAAACACGAGATGCTTTGTGCACCGGGCTGCCCTATTCAAATATGGTAAACTTTCACAAATCCAAATTAGGAGTAGCTAAATTACATTACGGCCACAGGCTGATTCAGAGCATAAATGCATGTGTATGCATTTCCTTGAACACCTATTATAGTATTTCTATAATATTGAAAAAGAATAGTATAACATTTACAGATATATAAGAGATGTAAGCACTGTATTTGATCCCAGGTCCGATTCGGGTTATCGGCCTATAAATTGTTGAATGAAAGCAATAGCTTGACGAATTGATTTTATCTACACTGACAATGTAAAATGTAACAGAAATTTTACACAAACAAATTACCTAAAAATATTAGAAGGTAGTTGAGTATTTTTCTACTCCGTAGTAGGTGTAAGGCTAGTCTGATAGTGTCTTGTCTTAGAATGCTAGTGGTACATCCTGTGTTCATACTTATCTTTCGCTCCGGTTTCCTAGTACCTTGCCATTGTTACTAGTTATTGATATTGCTTTTTCCTTTTATTTTTCTGTTTCCGAGGTCGTTTGATACTATCTTTCTGGCCTCTGTTGATGTAGCTAAATTATTGTCTCTTTTTTTCTTCTTGAGTCGAGGTCTATCGAAAACAACCTCTCTACCTTCTCAAGGTAGGCGTAAGGTTTGCTTACACATTTCTAGATCGCACTAGTAGGATTATACGGGGTTGTTGTTGTTGTAGTAGTAAATTACCTAAATAATAACTACAGCTAACTATCCATAATAAGTAGGGTCAGTAACTTGAAAAATAATGTTGATAACTTGCTATAACAGGTAAAGAAAATATTGCTACTATAAAAATTCCATAGTGTTATTGTATATTACTTAAATCCTGATTAATGACAATACTGACCTCAGTCCTTCTCCACAAGCCACAAGGACCTTAGCATTATCCTTATCAGGAATTTGCTGTTCAACTTGCTTAACAAAATCATCGTTAATCATTGTGAAATTCTGGCCAGTCCAAGCCCCAATATAACCAAAATGTACCCATTTCTTCAACAGAGTAATGGGACTATTATCCATGTCCTTTAAAAAAAGTGGCACGTGTAACGAACCTGAAACGCATGCTTTAGCTCTTTCCCATTCTGGCCTAATGTCAAGTAAAATATAACCTTCAGTTTCCATGGCTGCAGCTGCTTCTTTTGGTAATATGGGACGGACTTTACCTGACTGTATTAGTTGTTGTCCGTTGACGGAAACAGCATTAATTCTAAGAATTGTTGAGCGTTGAGAGGCAGTAGAAAAAGATGGAATTTGGAGTTGTTTGTTATACTTCAAAATGGAGGATTGTAGTTGAATTAATGCCATTTTTTTTCGCTTTTTCTTTTGCAATACACAGTCTGCACCTTATCGTGAAAGAACTTGTTTTGGATTTACCTTTATCATGTTTTGATTTTTTGTTTTTGTTTATCAAATTCTTTCATTTAATAAAACAGAGAGATGAATAAGACAAATAGAAGACTCAGAATAAATGACTTTGATTTTGGGAGGACCAGCATATATACTTCTGCCCTTTACATTGCGTATCTTTATTGTAAAGAGTACAACATGCGATATGAAATGTACAAGTGAACAACTAAAAACACATAAATAATCCTTTTAATCTTTTTTTTTTCTTTTTGTTTTGGTTGAAAGGATAGCTATATTATATATAATCAAGCTCTTACAAGAGAGCGGTTAAGGAGATGCATTAGTGGCATCAAATTTACAGTATTAGAGTTTGTCCCTAAGGCCCCGTATAGGAACCATTGCTATGAACAAAAGTAGAACTAGCTAAAACACTACCATAAGTACTAGTTAAAATACTACTGCTACATAAAGCAGACCTAGTTTTAATCAACCGTCTCATCCCATTTTGATCTTGTTGATATAAATTAAAGGCGAGACAAAAGATGGTGGACTTCCAAAAAGTAGACAGTTTTCCTTTGTATGCATGGCTCCATAGTTAGCTAAACTATCTGCAACACAATTTTGCTCCTTGTAGATACTTTGGAGAGGGGGGCACTATCCAGCTGTAGTAGTAATAACCTGCAATCATTAATTATATTAGTGTATTGCATTGTAGTGGAGTTGAACATACCGAGTATGGCGTGTGCATCTGTCTCAATGATAGTGGTTTGAGATGCTTTTGGACAACAATTTTCAGTCCCATGAACAAGGCTAGAAGTTCTGTCTGAATACTTATCTCATGTATTGATGTTCCTGCAAAACCTATAATCCAATTGCCTTGGTGATTACGAAAAATACCACCAATATCATATTTGGTCTGTTTGGGGGGTGCCATTTTATATATAATGGTATTAAAGAATAATTTTTTGATTTGGGATTTGTTAGGTAATAAAATTCTGCAACCTTTTTTTTAATATGAGAGATATATTTAAAAGTCCCTTTTGATGATCTAGAATGTTTTTATTTCGTATAAGCCATAGCTCCCATAATGCAAATGGTATGAGAGTGGTATTTGAAATTTTATGATGGGTGAATAGTGATTGTTGATGTATAAATTGGTATAACCAATTTATAGTAGCATTATGGGATAGAGGGGAATTGGCATTGATAGATGACATCTTAAGCATAGTCCAAAGTTGTATGACACTTGGACATTCTAGAAATATATGTTGTAATGTTTCAGGGGCCATATGACATTGTGCACATATAGATGAATTAAGGATACCTAATCTTGTAAGATAAGTAGCTGTTGGAAGTCTATCATGACAAATTAACCATAAGAAGAATGATATTTTTGGAGGAATATGAAGTTTCCAAATCCAGCTATAGCTATATCTTGGATTAGTTGTTATAGGATTTATGTTATTTGTGATAGAATTGTACATTGATTTGGCAGAAAATATGCCATTTTGTGTGAGAGCCCAATATATTTGATCATATATTGAGGGTGCAATAGGCATATAAATATCTTTGATTGCAGATTGTAATTGATTTGGTAAAGTGAAGGGTAAAATATTGAAATGCCATTTATGGTTGTAATAGTAGTTTGGAACAGTTTTTTTTCCTCATATTGTGGAAGGGGTCCGTATTTGCAGTTACAAATTAAGTAATTCTGACTAATCCAAGGATCATTCCAGAATTTTACATGATTTCCCATTGTTATATTCCATTTATACCCTAAACAACAGTAGGACCATCCTTTCATAATATTACGCCAAGTTGTTGAAATTTATTTTTTGATCAATTGTGGTGGTCGTAAGTAATTATGTAATAACGCTTGTGCCCATAGTTGATTAGGATTATGAAATAACCTCCATGCAAGACTTGCATGCAAAGCTTGATTTTTTATATTAAGGTTATATATTCCTTACCCTCCTTGATCGAGAGGTTGTGTGATGGTAGACTACTTGATTAAATGTAATTTTTTCTTCTATTGAGTTGTTCCCCATAGGAAATTACGTTAATAAAGATTGAGGTAGGAAAGTATATAAGTAGGTATTATAATATATCGCATAAGGTGGTTAGAAAGATGGTTTAAAGTTGTACGAAATAAAGTAGTCCTTCTTGCTTTTGATAAATAATTTGTTTTCCACCATGTCAATTTATTTTTGAAATTTTCGATTAAGAATTGGTAATCCTTTTAGCAAGCTTCTTAATAAATATAGGAAATCCCTAAGTATTTTCCAAAACTTTTCCCTTCATTCATGTGGAAGATTTGTAGTATAGTAGATCTTATATTAGGTGAACAATTTTTTGAGAAAAAGATTTTGAATTTATCAAAATTGATAGTTTGTCCAGAGTGA